CGCCCAGCCACTCTGCGGAGGAAGCTCATTTCGACCGCTTGTATCCGCGATCTCGTTCTTTCGGTCATTACCCACAGCTCATGACCATAGGTGAGGGAGGGAACGAAGATTGACCGGTAAATTGAGAGCTTTGCCTTTCGGCTCAGCTCCCTCTTTACCACAACGGTCCGATACAGAGACCGCATCACTGCGCACGCTGCACCGATCCGCCTGTCAATCTCACGCTCCATCCTCCCCTCACTCGTGAACAAGACCCCGAGATACTTGAACTCCTCCACTTGAGGAAGGACCTCTCCACCCACCTGGAGAGGGCAAGGCACCTTTTTCCGGTCGAGCACCATGGCCTCGGATTTGGAGGTGCTGATTCTCATCCCAGCCGCTTCACACTCGGCTGCAAACCGTCCCAGTGCATGTTGCAGGTCCTGGTTCGTTGGAGCCAGCAGGACGACATCATCCGCAAAAAGTAGAGATGAAATCCTGTGGTTCCCGAACCGGACCCCCTCCGGCCCCTGGCTGCGCCTAGAGATTCTGTCCATAAATACAGTGAACAGAACCGGTGACAAAGGGCAGCCTTGGCGGAGGCCAACATGCACCGGGAACAGGTCTGACTTACTGCCAGCAATGCGAACACAGCTCTGGCTCCGGTCATACAGGGACTGAACAGCCCTCAGCAGAGGACCCCGGACCCCGTTTTCCCGGAGGACCCCCCAAAGGACACCCCGGGGAACGCGGTCGAACGCCTTCTCCAAATCCACAAAGCACATGTGGACAGGTTGGGCGAACTCCCATGAACCCTCGAGTATCCGATGGAGAGTATAGAGCTGGTCCAGTGTTCCGCGACCGGGACGAAAACCACACTGCTCCTCCTGAATCCGAGATTCGACCATCGGACGAAGCCTCCTCTCCAGTACCTTGGAGTAGACCTTACCGGGGAGGCTGAGGAGTGTGATCCCACGATAATTGGAACACACCCTCCGGTCCCCCTTCTTGTAGAGAGGGACCACCACCCCGGTCTGCCACTCCATTGGCACCGCCCCCGATCGCCACGCGATGTTGCAGAGACGTGTCAGCCAAGACAGTCCTACAACATCCAGAGACTTTAGATAGTCAGGACGGATCTCATCCACTCCCGGCGCCTTGCCACCATGGAGGCTGCCAACCACCTTGGTGACCTCGGCCAGGGAGATGGAAGTATCCGCCCCAACATCCTCAGCCTCTGCCTCCTGGACGGGGGACGTGACGGGGGGATTGAGGAGAACCTCGAAGTATTCCTTCCACCGCCCGACAATATCCCCAGTCGAGGTCAGCAGCCCTCCACCCGCACCATACACGGTGTTGGCAAAGAACTGCTTCCCCCTCCTGAGGCGCCGGACGGTTTGCCAGAACCTCTTCGAGGCCGACCGATAGTCATGCTCCATGGACTCTCCGAACTCCTCCCAGTCCCGGGTTTTTGCCTCTGCAACAGCCCGGGCCGCGGCACGTTTGGCCTGCCGGTACTGGACAGCTGCCTCAGGAGTCCCACGAACCATCATTGCTCGATAGGACTCCTTCTTCAGCCTGACGGCATCCCTTACTGCCGGTGTCCACCACCGGGTTCGGGGATTGCCGCCGGGACCAGCACCAGAGACCTTGCGACCACAGCTACGAGCCGCCGCATTGGCGATAGAGGAAGAGAACATGGTCCACTCGGACTCGATGTCCCCCTCCTCTGCCGGGACCTGGGAGAAGCTCTCCCGGAGGTGTGAGTTGAAAGTCCGTCTGACAGGGGGCTCAGCGAGACGTTCCCAGCAAACCCTCACTACACGCTTGGGCCTGCCAGGTCTGACCGGCCTCCTGCCCTGCCAGCGGATCCAACTCACGACCAGGTGATGATCGGTTGACAGCTCCGCCCCTCTCTTCACCCGAGTGTCCGAGACACGCGGTCGAAGGTCAGATGATACGACTACAAAGTCGATCATCGACCTCCGGCCTAGGGTGTCCTGGTGCCACGTGCACTGATGGACACCCTTGTGCTCGAACATGGTGTTCGTGATGGACAGGCCGTGACTGGCACAGAAGTCCAACAACTGAACACCGCTCGGGTTCAGATCAGGGGGGCCGCTCTTCCCGATCACCCCTCTCCAAGTGTCACTGGCATTTCCCACATGGGCGTTGAAGTCCCCCAGGAGAATAACGGAGTCCCCGGGCGGTGCACTGTCCAGTACCCCTCCCAAGGACTCCAAGAAGGCCGGGTACTCTGCACTACCGTTAGGCCCGTAGGCCGTCACAACAGTGAGAGACTTGTCCCCCACCCGGAGGCGGAGGGACGCGACCCTCTCATTCACCGGGGAGAACTCCAACACGTGGCGGCTGAGATGGGGGGCAATGAGTATGGCCACCCCAGCTCGCCGCCTCTCCCCGCGGGAAACACCAGAAAAGTGGAGCGTCCAACCCCTCTCAAGGAGTTGGGTTCCAGAGCCCAAGCTGTGTGTGGAGGTGAGGCCGACTATCTCTAGTCGGTATCGCTCAACCTCCCCCACAAGCTCGGGCTCCTTCCCCCCCAGTGAGGTGACGTTCCACGTCCCAAGAGCCAGATGTTGGGTGTGTGGACTGGGTCGTCGAGGTCTCCGCCTTCGACTGCTGCCCAGTCCTCTCTGCACCTCGCCACCACGGACCCCTCTGCAGGTGGTGAGCCCACAGGAGGGACTGCCCACGTCATCCCTTCGGGCTGAGCCCGGCCGGGCCCCGTGGGCTAAGGCCCGGCCACCAGGCGCTCGCTTGCGAGCCCCGACCCCAGGCCTGGCTCCAGGGTGGGGCCCCGGCTGCGCCATGCCGGGCGACGTCACGGTTTTTGTTGTTGTGCTGTCCATGGTTGGCTTCGGACTGCGCTTCGTCTGACTCGTCACTTGAGACCTGTCTGCCATGGGAGACCCTACCAGGGGCATGAAGCCCCAGACAGCATAGCTCCCAGGATCATCCGAGTGCTCAAACTCCCCCACCACGTTAAGGTGGCAGTCCAAGGGGGGAGTTCACTATTTCTTTCACAGTTTCTTTCACTATAAAGAAATATTCGAGTGACTGATGCTAACTTACTACAAACAGGAAAATGCATGTCCTCAAATTAAAACTCAAATGGTGAATCACGAGGTGGGACCAAGTTTGTCACACACATAGATTCTTTTATGAAACATTTATGTGAGTGTACAATACACACAGAATATACGCCGAGTCTGGAGGTGGTGTAAATGTGTACGCTCATCTCAACCTTTATCACAACACGCCAAATCACGCATGAAATTCAAGATTTGGACAACAATAAACATATTCCCACACTGGCAGGATTCTAAGATGCGTTTTCATTGAGCACACAATGTGGTGCGTGTCATTCAGAAGTGTTTTATTTTTATTTCAATGGTATTAATATAGCGTTTATTTCTTTTTAAACAAAACTCAACTCTTCATGCTGTCATGTTGTCTTCCTGGTCAACTTCCATGCTGACCTGTCGTTAAAAAGGCGTGAAACAGGCTGTTGCTGCATATTTACAGGCGTGACTTTCATAATTACCTTCGTTAACAGGCGCTGCTGCTTACGCTTAGAACTGGGCGGATCTCACGCGTTCATAAATCCCACGTAGGATCTTGCGTATTTGGAATATTCAGCCAAAATGTAAACTCTTTTCAAGTTTCATAAATCATTGACATGTTTTGGATTTTTTATGTAAATGAAATAAAATGTGCTTGTAAAAGAAATGTACTTGACGACAGGATGATATCAATTGTAATCCTCAAATGTGTAGTTCATCAATTCAATTTTATTAATCATTAAATGTCTCATTTTTGTGATGAGATAAGAATTCCTTTATTCGTCCCACAGTGGGGAAATTGCGTTTTTGCAGCGCACATATAGGACAGCAGTAAGAGCACACAGGGAGCACACAATAAGTAGTATATAAGTGTGAATAAGTAGTAGCTACAGTGCCTTGCGAAAGTATTCGGCCCCCTTGAACCTTTCAACATTTTGCCACATTTCAGGCTTCAAACATAAAGATATACATTTTTTATTTTTTGTCATGAATCAACAACAAGTGGGACACAATCGTGAAGTGGAACGAAATTTATTGGATAATTTAAACTTAAAAAAAAAAAAAAAAAAACTAAAAAGTGGGGCGTGCAATATTATTCGGCCCCTTTACTTTCAGTGCAGCAAACTCACTCCAGAAGTTCAGTGAGGATCTTTGAATGATCCAATGTTGTCCTAAATGACTGATGATGATAAATAGAATGCACCTGTGTGTAATCAAGTCTCCGTATAAATGCACCTGCTCTTTGATAGTCTCAGGGTTCTGTTTAAAGCGCAGAGAGAACCATGAAGACAAAGGAACACACCAGGCAGGTCCGAGATACTGTTGTGGAGAAGTTTAAAGCCGGATTTGGATACAAAAAGATTTCCCAAGCTTTAAACATCTCAAGGAGCACTGTGCAAGCAATTATATTGAAATGGAAGGAGTATCAGACCACTGCAAATCTACCAAGACCCGGCCGTCCCTCCAAACTTTCATCTCAAACAAGGAGAAGACTGATGAGAGATGCAGCCAAGAGGCCCATGATCACTCTGGATGAACTGCAGATAACTACAGCTGAGGTGGGAGAGTCTGTCCATAGGACAACAATCAGTCGTGCACTGCACAAATCTGGCCTTTATGGAAGAGTGGCCATTTCTCAAAGATATCCATAAAAAGTCTTGTTTAAAGTTTGCCACAAGCCACCTGGGAGACACACCAAACATGTGGAAGAAGGTGCTCTGTTCAGATGAAACCAAAATCGAACTTTTTGGCCACGATGCAAAATATGTTTGGCGTAAAAGCAACACAGCTCATCACCCTGAACACACCATCCCCACCTCAGCTGTAGTTATCTGCATGTATGTTTCTTAGCTAGCATATCGAGCTGTAGATGATGACAGATCAATTTACATTTGGAAGTTTTCTCGGCCAAACACGGATGGATGTTCCTTAATGAATCTATGTCCCCAAATAAATTCTACAACTCAAATACCATTTTAATGAGCGTCCGCAGCCGGGGCAGAGCCGGGGGCATAGCAGAGCCGGGGACAGAGCCGGGGGCAGAGCCGGGGCAGAGGCAGGGTAGAGCCAGGGCAGAGCCGGGGACAGAGCCGGGGGCAGAGCCGGGGGCAGAGCCGAGGGCAGAGCCGGGGCAGAGGCAGGGCAGAGGCAGGGCAGAGCCGGGGACAGAGCCGGGGACAGAGCCGGGGCAGAGGCAGGGCAGAGGCAGGGCAGAGCCGGGGACAGAGCCGGGAGCAGAGCCGGGGGCAGAGCCGGGGGCAGAGCCGGGGGCAGAGCCGGGGACAGAGCCGGGGGCAGAGCCGGGGGCAGAGCCGGGGACAGAGCCGGGGGCAGAGCCGGGGACAGAGCCGGGGGCAGAGCCGGGGGCAGAGCCGGGGGCAGAGCCAGGGCAGAGCCGGGGACAGAGCCGGGGGCAGAGCCGGGGGCAGAGCCAGGGCAGAGCCGGGGACAGAGCCGGGGGCAGAGGCGGGGCAGAGGCGGGCTTCAGGCAAAGTAGGGTTAAGTGTCTTGCCCAAGGACACAATGACAGCAGTCATCTGTGAGAGTCCAAAAGTAGGTCTTGTGGTGGGCTCAAACCCACGACCTTCAGACCCAAAGGCCAATACTCTACCAACTGAGCTACTGCAGTCTGCAACAAAAACAAAAATGACGATTATTAATCCCATGGTTAAAAGCATGTCTCTTTTAAGCTCAAGATAATGCATTTATTTTGTATAGTATATTTATTGTGTTAAACATTGATTCAAACATTGATTCAAAAAAATATCCAAACCCATCCACAGCTGCCACGCCTTGTTACCGCTGATTCCATGAAAGAACATTTGACACGTATCGAGTCGGACACATCTCTTCTTCCACCTGTGAAACGTCTCTATCCGTCTCAGCGACTGCGATCACTCGAGGCTAAAAACATCCAGATGAAAACCAGGTCGCGAGTGCTTCTGGCCACAAATACAAAGAGCCGTTTCCAAAACCCACGTTCACATTTCTGGACGGCGCTTCTACTCTACGCCCCGGAGCACTTTTCCTCTTGACATTTCAACCAAAGCAGCAATCGATCCCATCTCTGCCGTTCACACAACCAGGAAACGGGAAGCTAAAGCTGCAAGTAATACATTTTTCTAACAACTCACTCACATTTTAAGGCTTTGGTTCTCAATCTGTGGTCATTGGGCTCAAGATGGTTAAAGCTCTGTAATCGTTTCTTGGAATTAACTAAGGCTTGAAGCTAATTTAGACCTAATGTTTTAACTTTAACGATACAATAGAATGGCGTTTACAGCTCACAGCCGCCGAGGACACACGCAGGTGACGCCTCTTATGCTATATTTTCTAGGGTTGCAATTAATGATCCTTTTCAGATTTTCCCCCGATTATGCTTTTAGTTGAATTAATGTTTAACTAATCAATTAGTTTGTTTAGATCATTGTTGTTAAGGCTTCGCTCAGTTATAATCAGACTGGACAGGGCTCTGCTGTCGGGAGTGCACAACTACAGTCATTTTCTAGATTTGTTGTTGTTGTTCTCATTCTGCCGCACGTGGTTAAGGTTTTAATATGACAAAAATGACATGCCTCCCTCATCTTTTCAAGTAGGGGAACTTGCACAAATGGTAGCTGACACAGTGATGGAGTGATTATATGTATATCGCAAGTGCTGAATAGATTTTAACAGAGCAGTAATGATTAATTGATTAACTGTGTCAGATAGAGGTTTTATATCTGGCAGAAATAATGAATCAATCCTTCTGAAGCCATAACATCCGGATGCGGCACGGTGGCAGAGTGGTTAATGCTCATACTTAGTTTACAGTGATACGGTCATTTGATTCTCTCAAGACAACACAGCAGTAACAATCTGGTGCCTTTTCTTCTCTAACATGTAAACATTGACGGGCAGGACGCTGAAACTCGGAGGTGATTCTTTGAAAACCATATGAAAGCAGAATAGACGATGAGCATCAAAACAGATGGACCTCAAAGATCAAAACATATGCAATGGTAAAGAAAAAAGTCCTTCTGACAGAGACAAGACTTCAAAAACGTTAGAAGTAAAAAAAGTGCAGTGACATATGGTTGGAGAGGTAGCGCATGCAGGCAGCTGTCTTTAACTACGGCGCTCTTCTCTGGGTTAGCGGCTGAGACAGGTTGTGGAGGATGGAGGTGAGGTTGAGGCACAGGAAAGTGTGTGACGGACCGGAGCTTCGCTGGAGCTCCTCGAGACGCTGGCGAAGACGCGACGATTCAAAGAGACGCTGGTTCTTTCTGACACAAGAAACAACAGAAAGAGATTGAGATCAGAATCTTTGACTGCCAGCCGTTTTGGATGATTTCCCCGATTTGTCAAGGCCCACAGAATATTATGGGCTATGACTATGTGGAAGTTTGAAAGCAGATTCTGAAAGACTGGATTGTCTACTTTCATCAGCAAAAATCCCCAGTCGAAAAGAAGGAAGTTTGCAGTCAGCGAGTTAATGTGCGGTGGCCCAAACCGATCAACCACTGAAACTTTCTACAACTATGATACAAGGTTGTGTATTGTATTCTGCTAATGCTACACTGAAAGACTCGCATGAATATATACCGGTTAATAAACACACAGTTTCTGTCTCTGTCTTTATGTAATTTAAGCTTGAAAAAAAAACTGCATCTATAATGACAAATAACTCCTGATTTCCACTTAATGACATATTTGTATCATTGTTTTAAGCATTGTGTGCAGTCATTAGCAAGTTGATGTTTTAAAGTGCAAATTTGTGAATAGCATGCGCGACCCAGGGCTGTTGTAATCGCACATAATTGGTTTAAAAGCATAAAGTGCCTCTTCACTAACACTCAAATCACTTGCCATTGTAGCAGATCTCTCTATGAGGCTGAATATTGTTTTAAAAAATAACTTAAAATATTACTAAGTATAGCATTCATTGGGTCTATGCTTGTCAACAGGCTAATGGAAACTATTTAAAGAATATTTTCAGCGTCTTGAGGCAGATGAGTCACAGTTGGATTCAGTTCAATTAAGACATGTTTGGAGAGACTTTAAATCGTGTTATTAATGAACCACTTGCGTAAAACTGTCCTACTCCACCCAGAGGCTACTCCACCTCTGCTGCTGTGACCCGTCCTGCTCCACCCAGACGCCACTCCACCTCTGCTGCTGTGACCTGTCCTGCTCCACCCAGACGCTACTCCACCTCTGCTGCTGTGACCCGTCCTGCTCCACCCAGACGCTACTCCACCTCTGCTGCTGTGACCTGTCCTGCTCCACCCAGACGCTACTCCACCTCTGCTGCTGTGACCCGTCCTGCTCCACCCAGACGCTACTCCACCTCTGCTGCTGTGACCCGTCCTGCTCCACCCAGACGCTACTCCACCTCTGCTGCTGTGACCTGTCCTTCTCCACCCAGACGCTACTCCACCTCTGCTGCTGTGACCCGTCCTGCTTCACCCAGACGCTACTCCACCTCTGCTGCTGTGACCTGTCCTGCTCCACCCAGACGCTACTCCACCTCTGCTGCTGTGACCTGTCCTGCTCCACCCAGACGCTACTCCACCTCTGCTGCTGTGACCTGTCCTGCTCCACCCAGAGGCTACTCCACCTCTGCTGCTGTGACCTGTCCTACTCCACCCAGAGGCTACTCCACCTCTGCTGCTGTGACCTGTCCTACTCCACCCAGAGGCTACTCCACCTCTGCTGCTGTGACCCGTCCTGCTCCACCCAGACGCTACTCCACCTCTGCTGCTGTGACCTGTCCTGCTCCACCCAGACGCTACTCCACCTCTGCTGCTGTGACCTGTCCTACTCCACCCAGAGGCTACTCCACCTCTGCTGCTGTGACCTGTCCTACTCCACCCAGAGGCTACTCCACCTCTGCTGCTGTGACCTGTCCTACTCCACCCAGAGGCGGACATGTATGGATCTATCTATCAATCTATCAATCGTCTCTCTCTCTCAAACATCGGGGCAACAAAACCATTTTCCCTTTTTTGCATCTATAATCATTTGTGTGACTGACTCTCCCTTGTACCTGATCGTGGAGAGTTTCTGCAGAATGATGCACAACTTTTCCAGCAGTGACAGCTCCAGATGACGGCTCCTGAGGACTTGGGACGCGGCGTGGAAAAACTCATGGCAGCTACAGGCCTCCAGGAAGCTCTTGAGGTAGCCTACACACACACACAATAACACCCCCACAAATGGCATGTAAACAAAGGCCATTTCTATTCTGAAGCCTGATTTGTCAAATTCACACAGGAATGAGAACAAACAAACCATGAAAACATTTTATCAATCAACCAACACTTTAGCGGGGAAGCAGATGCGGAGTGGAGGAGATTTGGGTTTGAAAAAGAACTTCCATATTGTCACTGTTGACTTTGACCCTTTGCTACAATAAAACATAACCTCAGCCACAAACACATGGAGATGAAACGCGCCGTAGAAAAGCACACATGTGGAGCCAACATTTCTTAGGAAAATAAATGTGGACCGTATGAAGTCCTAAAATTAGTCGGTTCCGGATAAATAAACATTTGTTTCTGCTCAAGTCAAATTCCACTTCCTTCAGAAAACTCACTTCCTGCTGCTGGAAAACCACGACCATGTAACGGAGAGAGCACTGGCGCCCAATCAGAGCACGCCATCAGGAAGAGAGGAGAGGTTAGCGTCCAACAACAACATACAAATGCATTCAAAGATCATGTGACGGATAAAAACAGCCATTAGTGACATTGGGGGAAAAGTATCTGAGTGAGTGTGCCACCTGCTTGTGTCCACGCAATTACTCCGTCTGGATCGAGGCCGAGCGAGATGGGAAAAAATTTAAGAGGTCCAATTTACTTAATGCACACATTTATGTTATACGGACACAGCAGTGACATTGGACTGACCAGGTGCACTTTAGTTTTAACACTTAACGTGATTAGTGATTAGCTAGATTTAAGGGAGCAGTATGTAAAAATCTGGCCAAAAGTGGTGCTGCACTCTCCCTGACTTAGGTTGCCAGATATGCAGAAGAATCCAGCTGGGACCATAATATCTGAATAGACAAGAGTTTTGTCAACTACAAATCTTTAACCAACACCTTTTTCACACATAAGTGTAGGAAGGAGCCCTGTAAATCACTATTAGACGCTTTGGGCTGAGCGTCTTGTACTCCTTTGAAATGTGAATAAGATTTATTGTTTATTATTATTATTATTATTTTTTCTTTTATATAATTATAATTATTATCATTATGTAACTGGGACCAATTTCTTGTTATTTTTCTTTCTCCACTGAAAATGACTGGTAGACTGTATGTGGTGGTGGTGATGGTGTGATGGAGCCCTAATGTATAAGCTTGTGCTTCTGGGAGTTCCATTTTCACAATGTAGCACATGAACTTTTAGGGACTGTGTGAACACAGTCACACTTTTGTGTGACTGTGTTTCCCCTTTTCTGTCTGAAAAAGACGATGTATGTGATGCCAATAAGTCACGATTGAGGTGTAGCGATAGAATGAATGGATTTGGTCACATTTTTCTGGTTTGAAAGTTTGGAATCGTAGCTTTAAGAACACTGCATTCATGAAACTAGTGCATCCATTCTCAGACCATCAGTTCTCGTCGATCCTGCACATATTTACTATCAAAGCAGCTCATTATCGCAGCTGCAGACGTCTGCTCACAAACAGATCCATTAGCAGCACATGCAGGAGCCACGGGGGCCGTCAAACTATAATGAAGGTTAATAACACGTCGAAAGGTATTTATGGAGGTCGCCAAGGCTGTTTTTTACTGCAACGCCAGGACAAAGTTACGACTCACTGAGCGACTGTGAAAAGGTAACAAGGTGAGAACGGCTAGAACGCGTTCCGGAGAAAGCAAGTCCCATAAGCAAGTCCATGAGTCCCATTCGTTTATTGTTTAAAGAGGGGTCAAGCAAACTGCAATGTGTTTTATGGCTCCAACATGGAATTTTCAATGAACACGGGTGAGATACAACTTGGGGGTTAGCATGCTTTACAAACGGCTGTTCACAAATTATTAGGTGAGGAAAGGATCTTTATTCGGGGTGCCAACACTTCTTTAAACAAGGTCAGCAGAATAAAACAAAGTCGTAGAGATGAGATCGTATTGTGGATTTTCCAGAACAGAAGCCTTCATGAGCTGAGGCCGGGCTGCAGTTTCAAACCTCAGTTTAAGCTTCAGTCTGAGAGCATTCTTATCTGATCAACTTCTGGTAAAATGTTTAATGCAAGACAGACAATCCTAATGTCGCATCAAAACTATTGTTTCATTCATCACTCATAGTTTAGAAAGATGAACAGCTCCTATTTCTTGTGGGATTGACCAATCCATCAGAAGAATCTATTGTCTTTTTTATGTGTGTCTGTTTGTTTTCATTTTAACCATCTACAGATTCATTGACGAAAGGGATTGACGAAGGCTTTCTGAGGGAAACATCTCATTAATAATAAATTGACATCTGCAAGGCTTTTGTTGAATACCTAAAACTATATATCCATCCATTTCTTCCCCTTAACCCATTTCTGGGTCAGGGGGGTGGCAGTCAGAGCTGCACCCAGTTCACAGAGCACCAGCCTCTCACTGATCCTCCTGCAGGTGCTGAGTCCACAGGAAATGAGATATTTCAGTAGGGGCTTCAGGCAAGTCCTTCGTTGCCTCCGCTCATTTCACCTCCTGCTTGTGAAACAGAGTAATTAGCGTGGAGGCTTAAAGTCCCACTGAAGCACACAAGCCTGGCCCCCGCTGCTGCTATTACAATGTTCTGTTGTGGATTAGCATTTAGCAGTCTCAAATGACACGCCTCATAACTGCGCCATACTGCCAGGGAATATTTGAGTTTTTTTATGGTCACAACTTTAAAATGCACGGCCTGGCTACGCTCTATGATTGATGGCTGCCGAGACCTGCCATCCCCCTTCACATATGTTAGCTATAAGATGAAGCTACGGCGTGATACTCCAGAAAAGGCCGCGGTAAATCACATTAAATAGTGATAGTAAAAGGCAGTCCATAAATCAGGAGAGGAGGAGAGATCATAAGACCTTTTGGGTATACGTCAACCCCGAACACTTCAGCAGGAGGGATATTAAGAGAATAACTTTTATCAATGAGCCAAAGATACAGATGAGGCTAATGCAGAATTCATTCAAGAAGAAGTACGAATAATAATGTTTGGGAACTGATCAATGGTCCCCCCTGTCCTGGCTGACCCTCCTGACCAATCAAGTGTGACATGTGGGTGACAATATGGCTGAGGTCTTTTAGGAGGTGAACATGCAGCAGAGCACTGTGTGGAAGCCTTAAGGTTTGTATCTATGGTTTTTATTCTTACCTCCTTGAATAGAATACATCTTAACTGTCTGTGTTGATGATTTCAATGGTTTTGTTTCCTCTGAGATGACTGCTGTTTAGATTTAGGGCTATACAAGACTAAATGTGTTGTGTTGTATTGTATGAATCTTGTAACTTTCTCACTGCGCATGTAATAAGTCTATATCATATAATAATATCGTTAACATTAAATACTGTTTTTCACCTGTATTCCGCTCGTCCCTTTTTAGTGTGAATGTATTGAATAGACGGAGAATACTTCTATACACGTACTTTTCATGGATTAAAGAGAGTACAGCTCGATTTGTTCAAGTTGGCTGAAACATGTTCGCAATTTCTCGGTGTCAGGAGTCAGGAAATACTTCTGGAGGATTCAGAGAATGTCTGAATCAATTATCGCGGTGCGTTTGGATGTTCCAGTTAGTGTTGGCTTCTGCCACAGTCTGTCTGCCGTGAAATTACAGCACGAGATTACTCCATTCAGCAATTTTATTAAGTTTAAATAAATTGACCAGGGTCTATTTTGGAAACCCTTGAGGATGAGATGCAGGACCTTTATGGGCTTTCCTTTCCGTGCAGCTCACGGCGAGGGTGGATCAGACTAATGAAAGAACCGACACAGACTGAAACCTGCACTTGCTTTTGTTTGTTGTTCATTGTTATCATATTTATCTTATCTTATTCTTACATTTTGTCTGTAGTTTGTAGTTTTTAAAATTCTTTCATTGTTGCTGGAAAACAAAATATTGTGTTTTGTATACAAAATAACTAAAAAACAAATAGAATGCTTTAAGCCATTGTGTTGTGTGCGTTAAACTCAATCTCCATTCACAAAAAGCAAATACGTTTTATCTCTACCTGTGATTAATCTTGTCACAGGCTAGAAGAATATCCATGCAGTAAATTTAGAAATGAAAAAGTTTGGTTTGGTTGGAGAGTACATTAGTCCAATCACGCTGCTGATGATGGTATAGCTGGTAGCTTTAGGAGTCTGTACGATACATAAGAACCAGGACGGCAGATATTTTGACCGCGGGAAACCGTAGTGAGACTTACTGGAGTCTTGAGCGAGCTGCAGCAGAGCGTCTGTGACCGGAGCCGGTGTTCGGCCGCTCTTCAGCACTGACATCAGTTCACTCACGCCTCCAAACTGGAGCAGCAAACCCCGGCGCGCCTCGTGGGACAGATCCGAGCGCAGAGCAGCCAGCGCCGGCTCCAGGACCTCGGCTGTGGAGAGACATCACACCTTCAAGCAGCCATTGTGTCCTTTGGCAAGACATTTCTACCACAATGTTCAGTACAACATCCCAACAACAGCAGGAGGTTCTTTATGGAAAAGGTGACTCTGTAGCCGTGAATATCATTGGGATCTTATTGGATGTTATAAGTAAAAAAGACATTTTCTGAACCAAGAATGTCATGGAATTGTTCACAGTAAAGTGTCAATTAAAATATCTGGACTTTAAAAGGTTAAAACAAAAAAACTAAAATTTCTATCATAGATTCATAGATCTATGATAGAAGATTGTTTAAAATGTTGGCAAAAAATTATGTGTCAAACAAATCAGCCTCTGATTTGATCCTTCTACTGTGTCTCAGTGACATAGAAAATAAAATGCCATCAGTCTGAAAAAACTAGATTAAAATGGCTAACACAACATCAGGAAATAAATGTTTTTTAAAATGAGCGTAGCTCATTCAGTCAAAGGATCACGTCCGTCACATCAAATAAACAGGGCCGCTTTAGGAAACTTGACTAATTTAAAAAAACAGTTATTTTTGGCCTTTCATCAGACTTGAGTTTGTGACTTTAACTGTAACAAGGTTGGCCTGTTTTCAGTTTAATTCAATTAATTTGTGTAAATCCCTAAATGAAAACAGTGGTCTTCTCGAGGCACTTTACGAACACAGAAAATGCAATAAAATAATCTGTAGTTTCTTGCAGGATTAGAAGCTGCTACAAAACACAATTTTACTTTTTTATTACAACTTTGCTGCGATTTGAGGAGAGACAAACACTGCTCACTGGTATTGAGTCATACAGAGACTGGATAATGTTGAAACGGTGCTCGTGGGTTCGATCTCCCGCCTGGACTGTCTGTCTGTGGAGTTTACGGCTTTCCGCATCAACAAAAACATACACCACAAGTAAAACCCTCCAGCGACAGATCTGAGCGAGCTGAGCATCTGCTCCTGACAGGTTTCTCAGAGGGACTGAGGCGAGGGTGAAAAGCAGAGGACGAATTTCTCTTCAAGGACAATAAAGGATTATCCGGGTGTAATTTAATGTCAGGAGAGAACCCACATTTTCCAGTATGTTTTGTGATGTATTAACACTAAAGAAGTAACGGACTCGTGAACGTTCTACTGTGTTTGGGAGACTCAAGTGCAATTTGAATATATACATTTGTGTTTATACATACACACAGTTTTTATTGTTGATTTTTAATTATTTCACTGTTTCACTCTGGATCTGTATTTCATTTATTCAGGGGGCTACAGTCGCTCAGTTGGTAGAGCACTGGTCTACCAAGAAATGGATTAATAAAGGGGCAGACTGTCACGGGGTGAGCTGAGTGAGGAGTCAAACGCAGGAGTGCCAAAATAAAACAAAGTCCAAGGCAAAAAACAAACTCCAGAAATCCAAAGTAACCAGAACAGAACAAGACAAAACAATGAAGCAGCAACAAGGGGAGAGAAGCAAAGGGTACATATAGACACAGACACAGGTGAAACACATCAGGGCGGGGCAGACAATCAAGACAGGGGAAAACAGGACTGGAAGTCAAACTGAAACAAAACCACAGAACTTTTTTCAAAATAAAACCAAAATACTAAATCAAAATCCACACCATGACACAGACGATGACATGACAGTATTTTATTGAGCAGAACTTTGGAAACTGTGTTCATGAAATGTGCTCTATCAATAAAATGGATTGGATTGGATACAGTTTCTGTGATTGTAATTAAAGCCATGAAAAAGTAATTTAGACAAAAAGTGAAAAAGAAAGAATTTGTAAAGCTTTACATTCTCTGAAAACCAAAATAGATTTGGAATTGGTAATTGTAAACCGTATTGGAAAACAAATGTGAAACCCATACATAAATCATCAATAATAGCCCAATAACATTTTGTTCTGTTCTGATCATCTGAAACTGGGCAACATTTGTGGAGAGATTTTCAGCAAAGAAATTACGAGTGTGTGTTTATAAAACCCGACATACAATAAAAATTCCTCTGCTTTTTGAAGTCTGTGGATGGTACCAATTTTCAAAGAAGGATCGAAACACATCTTCATTACGACAATCGCGTTTTGCATAAATAACGCATACTCGGTTTGCACGCTGACAGACTAACCCTAACCCGAGACTTTACAGAGACGGAGTGCGGAGCTTTGGAGCAGCGGGAGGAAGGTCATTGAGAAGAAAGCTGCATAAAACATGTGGCCCAAGATTTACACAGTGAGAGGATTCAGCCTGGATGGAGCTGAAAGAAACGTTAAGCACTTTGTGAATGAAGTAAGAAAAACTTATTTAAGACGATATGATTGAAGGCATGTGAGGCTTTAAGGAGGAAAAGGTTATGGGATTTGGCAACGACAATGTTAATGTGGCCCCCGTTTTGAAGTTTTCTTAGTTTCACCACAAAATGTAGGATAAACCGTTTAATGCCATCAATTACATTTAGAGAAGGACCTTAAGAAGAAAATGTAGTGATTATTGTCTATGCTCGTAAAGGGTAGAATAAATATGGAACAAAGTATAGATTAGAGAAGTCTTTCTATGTTTGAATAAATCCCAGACTCACTCACAGCGTACTAGATGGTGTTATAAACATAAATAATAAATGTTCAAAGTAAAGCATTTTGATTGCCATTTTAGGTTAAAGAATATCGCAATAATATTGGCACAGTGGCTGAGTGGATAGCGCTCTCGCCTCTCAGCAAGAAGGTCCTGGGTTCAAATCCCGGTCGGAACAGGGTCTTTCTGAGTGGAGTTTGCATGTTCTCCCCGTGCCTGCGTAGGTTTCCTCCAGGTGCTCCGCTTTCCCCTACCACTAAAAATATGCTCACTAGATTAAATCCTCCAGCTCCGGTCCTGACCAAGCCAAGCATCAACATCTGGAGATGGGTTCCCAGGCGCTGTTACTATGGCGACCACTGCTCCTGACGTAAGCCTTAGCGGCATCAGGATGGGTCAAATGCAGTAATAAAGTGCACCTTTAACCTTACCTTTATTGTTATCGCAACACTCCTATCGAATATCGCTCTAATTTCCAATATCGTGCAGCCCTACTCAAGATAAAAGTTTAGTTTAGTTTTATCTTGTGTCTTAAAACAATACTGAATGGAGGTCTTTAAGTCTCCCGAGCAGAGCCCAAAGTACACACATGTGTCTGTTACCTTGAGTGACAGTGCGCAGTATGATGAGCACCGAGAGAATGCGCGTCTCTGGGCATGAGCAGCGGTAAAGGGTTCGTTTCTCACTTCCTTCATTCACTCCTTCTGGATCCTCGCTCAGGAGATGGCTGCGAGGCCTGGACACCTCCTCTCCGATGCGCCTCAGTGTTGCAGATAACGCCACGTGCTGCTCACAGTAAAAACACAAACAAAGAGCGCGTAAAGCGGCTGCATCCAGTTACTCTTGTTATGCGGCCTGAGCAAACAAAAACAATGTGCCTACAGTGATCTGCGTCAAACACACACAGAATAAAACACAAGGTCAGTTTGTGAAGGGGCCAATGCGCTCCGTCTCCTGGATCCTGTAAATATCTCATGGAGCCAATTAATCAGTCGCGTAAACCACAAACTTTCCCAAATTTATTACCAATGAAACAACCATCTGCTCCTCATGACATCTGCCTCTGTAAACTCTAGGCTCCGTCTCCATTTGATCTAGGAGAAAGTCACTTGAGATCACTGACAATTGAAAAAGCTACGGCTGTCGTCGAAATTCTGCAGAAAGAAAGTCCTTGCCGACTAAAAAGGGGGCGTGGCAAATGGTCTAAAGATGATTGACATTACCCAAAGTGATCTTGCAAAACTTAATGGAAAATCAACTATTAGGATAAGTTTGTGTGAGCTCTCGGTCGTACAGGGATTTTCAAAAACTGTAAGTGAGTAAAATGTATAGAAATGGGATTAAGATTGTATAAAGGTATAAATTGTCACATTTGTTTTACAAATACTGTTTTTGGGGCCTATAAGCTAATGAAGCTTCATGCAGGGTGCTTGCTCTTTTTCCAAATTAAAATTCCTTTTACTTTTTAAAAACTGGTATTTTTTCGCCCCAAGACCTTAACTTTATGTACTTGTATACTTGTGTGCCTACTGCCTACTTCATTCTTTTTTATAGGCTAGTATTCAATGAACAAATGCATTAGTCACAATGCCTTTGAGCATACTGTAAAATTCAACCATATTTTTTCCCCCATACTTTATTAAAACTTTCACACAAAATTCAAGACTTTTCATGGTCTGGAAAACATTGTTTCAATATTCCATACTTATTAAGACTTTCAAGACTTGCGCAAGCACCCTGTTCCTGGGACTTCCCTTTTACAAAACACCAACTCTACAATATACATGTGCATAACTTGTATGACTATGAAGTTTTGTGAACTAAAAAAATGTGGTACTGAGTAAGAAACCATCAAGCTTTTAATCTAGTCTTAATGACAAAAGCTTGACAGCCCTAGAGAAATCAAAGGTACATTACTTTTAGAGGATTCTTTTTCACCATTTTACCACAGTCATAGAAATGAACTAAATCCGAGCACACTTTTCAAAGTTCCAGACGCTGTGTGGATACGCCTGTCCAGGGAATGTTTTGGGGATCAATATTAATCATCTGTAAGTATTTGTTGGAACAGTCAGATTATACTACTAAGAAAATGGCAGACAATCAAACGAGAGCTGTTGAGAAAGAAAACGACGTTGGTATATTTACCAATGGGCTGCTTTACTGTGGCCTTTCCATGATATAGACTTTAAAAATGGCTTAATGAGAGGATCTAGAATCATCATCCATCCCACATTTGTCTGAAGTCAATGTATAGATTAGTTTGTTATTAAAGGTCAAGCATTTGTAAAGTCGTTTTTTTACAATTTGACCATGTTAGTCCATTCTGACATCAACACAATAAAACCTGGAGTGGTTCTAAGCTGTATCGATACGAACATTGGACACAAAATGCTCCTCTTTGAAATTCCACGTGCACAATGACAAATCCTATTTCTATGACTTCATGGACAGACTAGTTTTCTACCTTTCTACTGTAGCGGAAATAGAAATGCACTTTATATATTTTTGTTTATAATTCCTGGTTGCATTTTGTAATGTAATGTAATAATGTGTGAATTGTAGTGCGCGCTACTTCCCTGTGTTTTATTTTGGTCCTCAACTTTCCCTCTCAAAGCTGCGTTGTATGCTTCAGAGGGTGAGTTTTGTCTCTGTGAATATTGTGGAAAATAAAGCTAAATGATCGAAAATATGTATTTTTCACAAAGATATGTTTGGTAGGAAATGTATTAAGACGCAATGAACATACTAGTGCACATTTTCTAGTGCACATTTTTAGATTTTCTGTACTTTTTATTTAGCTCGCTTACCATGTGCCCAACTGTATTGCCATGCTCACTCGCCGTTTTCATCCTGTAGGGGGAGCCAGTGTGTCCGCTGTGACTATAAATGTATATTTTTGGTCTGTCACAGGTCCGAGTAAAGTAGTTGACTCCACACTGTGTCCTGTTGTTCTTATACGGCTCGTGGACGAGTTTGCAGCCGTTACACTACATTTGTGTTGTAATTTTTTCCCCCGGTTAAATTAAATTGCTCGCAACTACATGTAGTGTATGACTCCCAGTGGCAGAGGAGGCCTGGTAGAGAGTAATCATCAACATATTTTATCCATCTGTGGGTCAGGGGAGGTTTGGCAGTCAGAGCACCACAGGAGGATGCCCTTGATCTGTCAGCAGGCAAAGTGGGGTTAAGTGTCTTGCCCAAGGACACGACAGCAGGTGGAAAAGTTCTCATGGTAGGCTCGAACCCGCGACCTTCAGGCTCAAAGGTCAAAGCTCTACCAACTGAGCCACTGTCGCCCAGAAAAGAACAAGTTTGGTGGATTGTATTACATATTCATTTGTTGTTCATGTAGGTACCGCAGCTTTAAGGGTCACAATGCACATACAAATAATCTTAATTTATCCATAATATGAAATGCACTATTTAATATTTAAAGATCCAGTCAGAACAATTCTTTTTAAATATTGTGGGAAAACATACCTAAAACCTAAGGAAGTCAAGTTATCATGTGTTTTCAAATAGTAATGGAATTGACCAGTTGCCTATAGTCTACAAAAATGTATAAAACATATTTTGGAGCGGACTGATAAAAATAAACCAATGGGATGCGTTTACCCCCTTCACCCTCTTCCTGAGTTATCGGATTTTCTAAAACCTAAAATGACTGAACAGAAAACGCCAATTTCACATTTGCTTCACTCTCCCTGTGACAAAGAAAAGAAAATGCTGGATGTTTGGTTTGGTGGAGAGGGAGGGGAGGGGGAGTGGTTTCCAGTTGATGCTACGGCTAAGCTAACAACATCGCTAACTCCACTTTTAAGCCACACAAGTCGCCAAATATCAAATTAAAGATTAATCCTGACTGAACAATGCACTCTTGAGTCATTAATCATGAAGTGGAAATCAAGCCTGTGTCATAATAACGGCTTTCTCTGTGACGGTGTGGACATTATACCAATGCGGAGGCCACTTTTGTCTCTCCTTCCTCACAGCAAAACGTTCCATTCAATCCCCCGTACCTGCGCACTATTGTCCACCTGTCGCAGGACGGCGTGGATGAAGCGAAGGAGGCTGCGAACGAGCACAGACTCCGACAAAGGCGTGTGGGAAAGTTGATCTGCTAATAACGGCAGCACCTGAGGACACAAGCATAACTTAATGTGGGTAATTTATCACTTCAATCCAAATAAAACGTCTCCTTGTGGCGTCGAGTATCACTATTGCGGTCGTGATGGAGACGGTTGCGGACAAAAGTTCTTGCAGTTAAGAGTAAAACTGCGGCTGTGGAGTCGGACCTTGAGGCATCTGTCGTTGTGTGAGATCTCTGGAGGGAAACAGTGGCCCACATCTTTAAGGCCGCGGTGGGTTTGGGAGGAGCTCGTCTGTTTATCCACGATCCAGTCCATGAGCAGAGAGAGCAGCTTTGAAGAAGGGATTACCTGAAGGAAGTTAAGTCAGAGAGGGAAGGTACAAAGCAGCACTACAGGGACAACGGAGAGACATGTGGTAACTGTAATGAACGTCTGCCCCGGTATAGTCTGGTCGCACCACACCATAGTACACATTACATTCCGTACATGCAGGGAAATGATGATTGAGCAGAGTGTAAGGATGGCTAAGGCCGGCTAACCCAGATACAACTTTAGACATGGATTCCTTGATTAGATGATTTAGGAGGAATTGAGCATGTATAAAATATCTTGGACAAGCGGCACGGTGGCTGGGCACTCTCGCTTCTCAGCAAAAAGGGCCTGGATTCGAATCCCGGTTGGAACAGGGCCTTTCTGAGTGGAGTTTGCATGTTCTCCCCGTGTCTGCGTAGGTTTCCTCCAGGTGCTCCAGTTTCCCCTACCTCTAAAAATATGCACAATAGGTCTGAATGTAAATGAGAGAGTGAATGGATGGTGTTGGAGCTGATGGTCCAGTGTGTTCTGGACTCGCTTCCGTCATCACTGTGTGTGGAAGGATTGGAACAATATCTGACTCTGAACATTGTAAAGCGCTTTGGGTCTGTACCTTGGTCTGTAAAATACTTACTTACAAAAGAGACTATAATTCAACCTTCTTATTTGCACACCCTGATTCTATCTTTACCAAATGTGACATGTACATTTCTCCATTTGTGAAATCAAGAAAGTTTATTTTATCTACTTTAAGCCATTTAAGTAGTAAATGTTGTTTACCAGATCTATTTTGTATGTGTGTTAGATACAAGACCCAGCAAAAAAAATCTCTTTTTGTAGCAGTAAATGTAATGAGCATATTAATATTGTTTACAATCATCAGCCATTCTGAAGTGTAAAGAACGGGGAACTTAAAAGGCAGACTTTGTCACTGTCACTTTTAGGGATGGATCCACCAAATGCGTCGTGTTGTATACAAATAAGATAAAAGGTAAAGGTGCACTTTATTGATCCCCGTCCAATTCATCTGTCATGGTGTGGATTTTGTTACTTTGGACTTTAGTTTTTATTTTGATATCTGTTCTCTGTGCTTTGGTTTTAGTTTGACTTTGACGCCCTGTTTCCCCTGTGTTGATTGTTTGCCCCGCCCTGATGTGTTTCACCTGTGTCTGTGTCTATATGTACCCTGTGCTCCTCTCCTTGTTGCTGGTCCATTGTATTGTCAACTTCTGTTCCGTCCTGTTTCTGATTTCGTGTTCCTTGTTCTGTATTTTGGATTTAGAATTTTATTTTCACTTTGGACTTTATTTCATTAAGCCATTATTTTGGCATTCCTGCATTTTGAGTCCTCCTCCTTCCCACCCCGTGACATCATTCTCTGCATTTGACCCATCCTGATGCCACTAAAACTTACGTCAGGAGCAGTGGTCGCCGTAGTAACAGCGCCCGGAAACCCATCTCCAGATGTTGACGCTCGGCTTGGTCAGGACCAGAGCTGGAGGATTTAACCTAGTGAGCATGTTTTTAGTGGTAGGGGAAACCGGAGTACCCTGAGGAAACCTACGCAGGCACGGCAAGAACATGCAAACTCCACTCAGGAAGGCCCTGTTTCAACCGGCCTTCGAACCCAGGACCTTCTTGCTGCCCTAAAAAAGTACCTAAAAGCATGTCTCAAAATTGTAAACTGCAAAGTATAATGTCTAGTGCAGTACAATAGTAGTAAGAGGTTATTGTTATGTTGAGTTGAATGTATTAAGAAGTATTTTTGACAAACTCATACGTTACTGATTTTGGTCTTGTCCTTTTGAGGGGGGATGACATTCTCCAGACTTTGTACATTCACTTTCTGACATCCTCTCAATGCAAAACCAAGCTCATATTTCCTCTGAAACATTTAAAAAAAATAATTATAAGACAATTAGTCAGGATTTATGCCACAATAAATGTCACAAACATCTGAGTTGGTTTTTTTTATGAGTGAGTTTAATGAAACACTCAAAGGTCAGCGTCTCACCTGTAGGTTTTCGAGACGGGCCTGGACCCTGCGGGACCGCCTCTCCAGCCCTTTGTTCTGCTCACTCAGTTCATTCAGCTGTTCACAACCAAAACATAAATTCAAATCAGATGGGCAATTAATGATTGACTTAAGTTTAATGAAAGTAAAGCGCCTGAACCGTGGGCCTATAGCGAGAACCTGTGCTATAGTGCCCTCTAGTGGACGTAGGCAATATAGCATTTTCTGTCACTTTGTGTTGGTGCATATGACGTTGAGTTTTTTTCTTCTTTTATGTTTCAAAATGTTTGTAAATGTGTATGATTGTATGTCCGCATTGCACTTTGGGTTGCACTGCATGAATTGTGCTTAATAAATAAAACTTGATGATTGATTGATTTCACACAAAAATCCAATAAAATGTTTACGTTTGTAGTAAGAAGATAACAAACTGCAAATTTGGTATGAATATGTTTGCAAAGAGTTGGACAAGTACTGATTACTATACATTATTACTACAGTACTGATTACTATACATTATTACTAAAGTACTGATTACTATACATTATTACTAAAGTACTGATTATTTTACATTATTACTAAAGTGCTGATTACTATACATTATAACTACAGTACTGATATAGTGCAATGCTAAATGGACATATGAGAGGTATGTACGGATGTATACTAGCAGTTTTGCTACAATCTGGCACATTTACAATTTGTGTACAACTTGTATATGATTGTTCATTAATGTGTGTTGTCCCGATCAAATAAATAAATAAATAAAGATTATAGTGAGGTACATGGTTTAAAAAAAAAAAAAAAATTCTAGCGTCACCTGTTTTTTCATATTGTCGTTCAGATCTTTAAGGGTGTCAAAGTTTGTCTTCAGTCTCTTGTTTTCTTTAGTCTTTTCACGCAGTAGGTTTTGTAGGTGAAGAATCTTGTGGTTATGTTTCTAAGGACCAAAAATCCTTACAATTACTTTGTATGAATGGTGATACATGATAAATGATTTATGCTATTGATATTTTCGTCTCTTCTGACCTCTTCTGCAGTGAGCATCTGTGAGTGGAGCATTTCCTCTAAACCCACAACTTTTTGAAGAGCATCCTCCTGTTGTTTCAGTTTCATCTCTCGCTCCTGGAGCTCCTTCTCCCACTGCAGCTGCTTCTGCCGCTCGCTCTGAGAGAAAGGAAAAACACATAGAGAAATCTGGACATTACAGTTTCATCAAACTATACAATGATCAATGCAAAATAAATGAAATAAAAGGCATTTAACCGCAATGCAAATCAAAGCGATTCAATATACTTTCATTTAGCCCAAAATCTCAACCACATTGATCTCAAAGGACCTTGACCAATGCCAGTGGTGGACTTCAGAAGTAAGGGATGCCGTTAATCCTGAAGGAATCCTGTAGAGCCAAGATGGATCCTGGGACCATTGAGGTAGTTGTCCAGCACAGGTAAAACAAGCAGGTAAATCAGTCCATCCAAGCTCTCTATTTAAAGCTACTTAAAGGTAAAGCTAATTTAAAAGGCACTGCGACCTCTCCCACTCTCCCTGACTCAGGTTGCCAGATATGTAGACGAATCTAGCTAGGACCAAAACAGCTGAATAGACAAGAGTTTTGTCAACAATAAATCTATAACCAACACCTTCTCCACAAAGACAGTAATCCTCGTTTGTATTCGTTTTATCGTTAATGATTGAAGAATCATAACGAGACCTGTTTTAGTTCTGCGCCACATGGTACTTTACCAGTGAGATTAGCTCGACGCGGTGAGTTCTGGCAACCCGGATCACAGACTTTCTGATTGGTGAAACGCTGGAGGGCGGGACATCGAAATGAAAACAATAACAAGATTTAGGGGCTGGAAAAATAATTTAGAAATCCAAATATCTCTGAACTACTGTTAAGTATTGGAAAAGACCATGATTTATTAATGCCTTCTGACAGATTAGGGCCCTTTAATGATGACTTGACATGAAAATCTTACATATTGATACTTAAACAGTTGTTTGCACCATGAGCCAAAGCAAATATCTAGTTTGTGACTTCATGTTACTTACAATGGCAAAAAAAAGTATCTGTGATGGGTGGGTTTTTGATTGGTAATTGGGTATAGGCCCAGATAAACTGTTTTAGCTTCTGCCTCCTCCCTTTGCGGCCATTTCTTCTCTTATGTCTTTTAAATGCCCAAATACACACTTTAACTGAATTAAACGATTAACATTGATAGCTTTATTCCCAATGATCCTAATATTCTTCAGCACTTCATTCAAAATTTAACGTGGCTCACACAGAATACCAGAAAACAACTCTCTTTTCCCAGAAGGACCGTCTTTACCTGAAGCTGCTCATAGACTTTCTGCATCTCCTCAAGTATTGCTCCAGAGGACGAGCTGCAGAGACGACGAGATCGATTCATTCGCCTGTCAGTTTCCCGAGACCCAAGGCTCCCGTTCAGGCAAGAAGGCAAGGTCACATCTGGACAAATAGAAAAAAAACCTAGGACCAGGCTTTAAGTATTTATAACACAGAGGTAGAACAAATCAAATCAAGAAAGGTAGAAGAAGAGACATGGCGCAGTGAAATGAAAATACACTGTTGCTACTGAGAATCTGCACGTTTAAAAACAGCACAAAACTCAAGAGAGAATGTACACTTTGTCGTTTCTGTTCACCTGGGCACTTGAAGACACAACTTTAGGCACATTAACGCGGTTGAGAAAATAGGTACCAACAAGATTACTCATTTCAGAATCAGAATCATTTTTATTGCCATTTAGTTTTATAGAAAGTCACAAACTAGGGAAATTGCTTTGGCTCTCAGTGCAAACAAGTTTATGGATGACAGTAGCTCAGTTGGTAGAGCATTGGCCTTTGAGCCAGAGGATCACCCCCATTGCCTAGATTCACACATCTGGTTGCCTCGCTTCTGTCAGTGTGCCCCAGGGCAGCTGTGGCTGTCCTGAAAATTGCTGTAACACTCAAAGACGCTTTACATGTCATTATTCTTTCACTCCAGACACGGTGGTGATAAACTACTACTGTAGCCATAGCTGCCCTGGGGCACACTGGCACACTCTGTGTCATTTCTCTGGTCTCTCTCTCTGGTGCTCGATAGTTGAGCAATTATGTGCTCATCTGACCATATTTCTATGAGGCACTGTACCTCCTCTTTCGACCACGTTTGTCCCCGATTCATTTTCAGCGTCTCTAAAACAAATGTTTGCGGAAAAAGTTTGTGTTACCCAGAATACCGCGCGGCTTGCTACGGAAGCTTTGGTAGACCAAAAAGTGAGCTACGCACCAGAGAAGGGACAAATCGAGGCCGGTCTGCGTTCTCACCAGCAGCAAACCAGACTGGAACCGCACTGAGACCACCTCCATAAGGTGGTCTCGGTGCAGTTCTGTAGTCCGGACCAATTTTAACTGGTCCACTTTCACACCTGCTCAAACGAACCGTACTTGCAGGTGGTCCGGGCTCCAGTCCGTTTTAAGTGGACTAAATGGTGCAGGTGTGAAAGCACCCTTTTAGTGTCCAAAAAAGCACTTGCAAAACCAATGCATTATTATTATTATTATTATTTATTATTAAGTTAAAATCAGAATAAAAACGTGGTGGAGGTCATAAAAAATATATTAAACAGTAGTTAATTATTGATTGAATTATTATAAGGGCACACACACACACACACACACAGTGAAGTAACTCACACCTGTTCCTGTGATAAGATGCAGTGAGTCTGAACGTGGAAGAGCAACATAGTCTTCAGCCTCTTCTTCACTTTCAGACCTAAAGTACTGAGACTTTTTGTTAGATACATGTTATTACTGATATTAATACTTTTAATGACTTACGAATGTGGTGTGATGGTGACGTCTTTAAATAGCCTGTGTAAAACTCTGCTGTAACCTTTGAAATCCTCAGCTTTGTCCATGTGTGCGTTTTTTATAACACACAGACTGTCCTCTTCAAGGTGTAGAAACTAAAACAAAAATTTAAACAAAAAAAAGAAGTGTCAGCATTACTAGATCAATCAAAAACATGAAGTAAATACAGAGAAGAAAGTTAAATAATGTAAAAAATAAAAATAAAACAATACATCTGTCTCACCAGGGCCATAGGGCTTCACACTGGTGCACAAGAGAAAAAATAATTACTTCTAATTATATATATCTACATTTTCGAGACACTTTTCTTAAACAGTGAAGATGAGGTGAACTGGTAAACAAAACTAAATGGATATAGATACTATGGCAGCTAAGTATAGAATTTCAAGATTATTTTTAGCGTCTTACTTTGTGCATTGATCAAAGATTACAAAATAAATATGACTTTATTCAAAACTATGTAACCTCAGGACCTGCTCAGTGCATTTAGCCAAAGACATAGAAGCAAAGTGATATAATTGACCTGTTTCCTGCTGGCTGTGTCCATAATGTCGGTTTGTGCGACAGTGAAATACTAATATTTCACGTCAAAATCAAAACTGTACGTGCTGCCAATTTCACGTTACATACACAAACCCAAACTTATTTTAGTTTTAGATCCATAAATATTTACAGTCTATGTCCATGACGCAAACCGAACTTGGTGCATATGTCACGTGTCCAGACCCGAGACCGCACCACTTCCGGAAATGTGAGGTTGCCAGATCTGCGTGTTTATAGCGACTTTTGGGCTAACTATTTGTGGCAAGACGAGCACAATTCATACACAAGGCAAGTCAAAGTGATGGACGAAACAAGATCACAATCACACTTTGCATTAACATCTTAAATAATCACAGTATATTAAAAATTGAAATTAAAACATAAAATCCATCTATGCAGCTAAACAGAAGTGTTTTTAAACCTGGATTGTCAGAGAAGAAGCCCATCTCAAATTCTCAGGAAGATTGTTCAATAATTTTGCTGTATTAATCTGAAATGCTGCGGTAGATACCTCCATATACCGAGGCCATAGAACCATGGATGCATTATACTATATAGAACTATAATAAGTCTGAATCAAAAACTTTATCTAATGCAAGAAATGTTTAGAAGTTCAGTTCCATTATGATAGATGTGTAAATACATGCTATCAAAGAGAGAGGACGCACATGTGTTTGTCATAAATATCGCATTGCTCATAATTCTTCATCCCCCTTGTACTATAAAATGTACCATGTATGGATAAGGGAAATGAAAGCAAATCTGACTATATGTCACAAGTGTAATTAATACCATAGGGCAGGTGGTATTTTGTGTGAATTTTGACCTTGGGCTCAATAGCCATAACACGGAAGACATGCCCATATAAGGAAATTAGTCCTATAAGTACTAAGGGTCAGTACTCGGTTGGTCCACTAGTGTACAGTCTATGGATACTGCCAAGATCTCTGCCTTACAGCTGGTCATTACATTACATTACAGCAGTTCCAAAGATAAGTTAGCCCATGATACGAATTGATGGAACATTTATTCCTATCTGGAGCTATTTAGAAGTCCACAATTTATTTATTAATATTTTGGCTTCAGAAAAACAACCGACTCCCTCAGTCTACTGCACCTGTCAGACAGAAGTGCTGTGACAAAAGATCCAATCAGATCACATGCCAAAGTTTTGACCCAATTTTAAATTGACTTTTATAAATTGTTTTTTCCCAACCAATTTCATTTTATATATCCTGGGGCCATCTCCTTTCACCAGTGACTCCAGACAAGATGGATCGGTTGAGGGCTTCAGTCTGTAGTTTCATTCTTCAGCCACAGGAGGGCAGTGTCGACCAGTCATGCCTTTTAAAGGTCTCTTCTAGTTCAAACTATTCCGTCAATGGGTCAAACACAACATCATAAAAAAGGTTTTTATGAAGATAAGATTAGCTATTGTAATCTCACAATGGAGACATATTCATCTCATATTTGTTAGGAAATGAATGGTATAGAAAGCAAAGCCACACTTTATTTGTTGTCTACAGAAATAACAGATCTATTGCACGATAATAAAAATAAATATCCGATGTTCAAACACATTGCAAAAGCTTATCGTGGGAGAAAAAACACCATTAACAAAGTCTCCATGCACCTGACCCTGGTTGTGTCTGGATGCTGTTAATGCCATTAATAATAACCATTTTGACTTTATTGTCGTGATTAATGTCATAGCTTCAGTTAGTTCTCCTCTAATATGGTCTCAGTTCAATCACCTTGTCCCTGAGGTGAATAAATTAGCCTTTTTTAGATTATAACACAGATCTTCAATGAGAGAAAAATGAGCCTTGTCCAGTTAGTGTGTATGACAATGGTTAATTGGTGACATTAACCTAATTTATTCTGAGGAAATGTGTTTGGGTTTGATCTTGTATTAAAGTACAGTATTTGTTCAACCTTAAATAGAGAAAGTCATGTTCATTTTTAAAGTACAGATTTAGAGGCACTAGTAACAGCAATGATAACATCTTGATGCATTTTTAAGTACCTTTTTTAAGGAAGTATTATGTTCAACTTTTCTTTTAAAAGTCATCGTTGTGGCTCGAGTATTGTAGAAAATACATATTGACTGCTTTAGTTTGGTTTCACACTAAAGACCAGGAACAACTATCTTATAGGGCTGAAACAACTAATCGATTAATCGACGACTAATCGATTATTGAAATAGTCGACAACTATTTTAGTAATCGATTAATCGTTTTCTGGTTCACACGGACTCAAACAGAGCAAAAATGACATGAATATGTAGTATTTTTGATTAAAACCGACTTTGTTTTTATAATTTCATGAATATATGTCTGTCTCATCCAATCAGATAGCAGAATTAGCACAAAGAGCCTGTTACAAACATTTATTTTAAGTTTACGACATCAATACGTCCTCGAGTGTTGCCACTTTAGCTTTTTGTGATGAAAAAATAAAAAATGTCTACACAATTCACAGCCAAGCGATTACTCGATTAATCGTAAAAATAATCGATAGATTAATCGATTACAAAATAATCGTTAGTTGCAGCTCTACTATCTTAACTATTTTAAAACATGCATTAAATATATGGCTGGAGGAAGTGTGTGTGGACAGGGAAGTCTGCTGCCCCCGTGACCTGGCAACGGATGAAGCGGAAGAAAAAGGATGGATGGATGGCTTCTCTCCAAAACAATTATTTCAATAATATACATTTTCTAAAACATCAATTCCCTCTGTTTGGGGCACATACCATTTTTGCGTTTTGTTTAGCTCAACGCTACTTTTTAAAAAACTTTCTTTTTGTTTAAATTGTAATTTTACATAAGAATTGTCTGCTTCACTTTAAGGAATTGCTCATTTGTTTTAGATAATTGGTGCAAACTGTCTCATGCTACAGTATAATCGGACCCAAGAGCAGGTGTTAAGCAGTCGAGGTCGGGTTATGTCATAAAGTCAAGGTTGGGGCCAAAAGTCAAAATTTGTCTGCGCGTTTAGACAGAATGGGCTGTAGTTATCGCCCGCACCTTCTGCTTTGTGACGGACTCGTATAGGCTGAGAGAACCAGCCCGAGGGACACTGCAAAACAAAGGCAATCAAATCCCATCATTGAATTAACATTTTGTGCCTAGTACCGCTGCTGCATGGGGGCAATTATCTCCCAGCTCAAGACACAGAGACATGGGAATCTCTCCATTAAAGGGGTGGAGGCAGGGTGGTGGTGCTGGGGACAGGATTGGACGGTGTTATGAGTGCGCAGAGCAGTTTTATGTATGCTAATGTGAACTGTAAAGATAGTTTTGGGGTTCAAGAGAGGGCCCCAATGCAATCACACTTTGCAGGCAAGAAAGAGCCCCACAGTGGGTTGTTCCAACTGGAAATATGGGCCATACCATCACTTCAGATTGCACGTGTTATTATGTGCATACGACTTTGTGAAGACTTATTACTCTGCGGATGCCAGTGGTGATATGTTGTAAAAGTCAGAAGGGATGTGAACTACTGCTACTGTGTCCAGGCTTTCCAAGTTTGATAGAGCTCTGATATTTGACTCTTTTCACTTAGAATATTGCTGGTATTTGGACTTGTTCACACTAAAGGGTACAAAAGTGTGATATATTATGTTTCTCATGAATCCAAATACCTCCTCTGTCCATTAGAAGTTGCTTGAACATAACTGTTTTATACATGAGTCAAGTTTCCCTGTTTATTTTATGCAACGGATGTGATTATTTGACGGAATGAGCTACGCAGAAGTTTGTTACATATTTTCAGATCAATATTTGATTCATACTTTCACAGAGTAAACAGTAAACAGAGTAAATGTGAAACCAGTTTTGTTTTTTCCCAAGTTTGATTTTTAGAGAAAAATTGACAGAAACCATCGTGTCCTTTACACATTTTTTAAGGATCATTAAAATGTTCAAGGATTCCTTTTTAAATTGAGGTATTTCCTGATGTTGTGTTAATTTTAATCTTGTGGAAGTTCATCTGCCGCTTTTTCAGACTCAGGACATTTCATTCTCTCACTGAGTCACAGAATGATCCAATCAGAGGCTGGTTTGGTTTAAAATGTCGGCAAAAATGTATTTGTCAAACTTTCCTTTTGATTTTATCCACACTATCTCTTGATATGTCTGTGTTCGAAATCTTTTTTATAATCTATGATCGCTTCAGATTCAGATTCAGTTTATTTGCCATTTGCAGTAAAAAAAAAACACATTGGAATACATTAGCAAAAAGTCTCCAGTGTGCACAGACAAGTTTTTGAGTTTCTGAACCTTTTGAAGTCCAGATACTTTCATTGACACTCATTTCAATCTCTTCATACCTGTAGGATTTTTATTCATCTCTGTTTTCCTCCATCCTCATTCCCTGCACCGGTGTGAAGGTCCGAATTGAGGACTAATACTTATATACACATGTTTAAAAAGTCAAAGTTTGTGTGATAATTGGTCATGGTTGTCATACTGTGGACATTTCAGACTGTCTTTAAATTGGG